AAGAACGTACAAACTACAAACCTTGCTGAGGGCCTGTCAGAAGTAGCCGAACTAGCAGTAGCTCTAACTTGATTCATTGCATATGGTTGCGTTAAAAGTTGCGAATGCGTTCTTAATTCTACATATTTAGGGCCTTGTCAGCAAGCAATGAAATTGACGATGTTTTAGGGGCTTATTCATTTGCATGCATCCTCGTTCTTGTAGCAAAGTCCTTGGTGCGTGAGCTAGATTAAGTGAAAACGACCCGACTTTGGGGTCTGATTTTGTTTTCGGGGCACAGGGGCTAGACACAACGGCTACGACCAGGCTGACAATCTTTTTATCAATGACTGTATTAGTCTAAGGGGTTAAATGTTATGGATAGAGTAGGATGACTATTTCGGGACAGGTTACCAGACTATTTACTTCTCAACGATGCCGCGAGTGCAACGAGCTTCAGAGCTTGTTTTAACGCATAACGTAATTCATGTGCATCCTTAGTATCATCAATTTATGTATATACACGATTCATCAAGATGATAAATGGAAACGATAAATGAGCTATCTGATCTGATTAAGATTTTATGTCAGTGGCAGTCAGCCTGTTTGATTATTGTAGCAAGGAACAAAGTGATGTGTCAAAGGAATATCTGGGCTAAAATGACTTGAAAGTAAAACGTATAATCATTAATTTCCCGCAGTCTTGTATCTGAGAATTTCAATACCTTATGAGCAGATATTGGATAGTCATAACTCCTCCGGGGTTAGAGGAGCATGTATGTACTGTAATTGCACATTCACAGGTCAATCAAATCAATCAAAGCCACTTTTTTTTTTTTAGAATTGTTGGTTTTCTGTAGCCTTTTATTCTGAAGAACCTTCCGTTGGTCACTTTATGCTTGGACTATATAAGTCCGATGCCTAATGTGCGCAAACCCATTCGTTTGCGTTGGATTAAAGATACTAAATTGATGAATGAAGCTGTAACTTTAATGTGACATAACATATACCCCAGTCAAACCGACTTCATACTGATCGCTTCCTTTGCCAATGTGGTAATGTAATTCAATTTATATTAAGCAATCTCTTGTTGGCCACGTCATTGTGACTGAAGCTCAAATGTATATATTCACTGTTGACACTACTGGAATTGCCTAAGCTTGATCTCCACTTGACCACGACACCTCTGCATAATATACCCAGTCACACCGCCACTCCGACTCCAAACTGATCGCTTCCTTGCCATTGTGGTAATGCAATTCAATGTATATTAATCAGTCCCTTATTGTGACTGTATATTCACCATTGACACATAATCATCATTGTGACATGCAAAATGAACTGTGTAACTCAATCAAAATGTCAAAAATCCAACTCTTTGCTGTACCCACAGAAAGATAATTAAACTTTGTGACCTACTGAAGAGAATTTGTCTCAGTGTTTCATCATTTTTGTTTAAAAATCTCTATGATAATTGTAACATTCCAATTGTATTTGTAGTTACTAGTATGTACAGCACATTGTGACTTTACATTATGACTCAACGTCCTTTTGAGCCTTCCAAAGTAGTTTCGAAATGATTAGCCTTTAAATAGCTCCCAGTTTTATACCACATGAAAATATCAAGGTATTTTTGGTTTCAATTTCTAGCATATGTAAAATTCTAAATGCGGACATGATCACACTCCATGATCTGACTACGATCCGAATTTAAAAGACTTTGTAACAGCATCTCATATAAACATTCAAACATTTAAAATCTTAATCACCGAGGATCTGGAAAATCATAATGATTGACAAATCTCAATCTTAAGGGATTTTATTCTTCCTTGGAGGGGGAAAGGCTAAATCGGCTCATAATCGTAATGAAACCAGAAGTGTGCATTTTTACGTAATTCTTGAGATTTTGAAAATATAGGCATTACTGCAGTAGTTCTTACAGATTGAGCCTGCACAATCTTCAGATCTAGCCGCTTGAACCTGTTGGACGCAACTCGAGATACTTCCGAGTTGAGCGCTGCGAAACTCTCTGTCTCTATGAAGACATACAAAGAGATTGAATCTTAGCTCTTGAACTTAAAGGACGTAGCTTGAAATAGTTCGAAGAAAAGTGTACGAAACTCTCTGTCTCTACGATGATATTTCAAGGGAATACATCTTAGCACTTGTATTTGTTTGACGTAGCTCGAAATATTTCGAGAAAGGTGTTGCAGAACTCCCTATCTCCATGAAGGGATTGAGTGTGGCAGCAATAGCTACTGCTACCAGGAAACAAAGATTTAGATATGCCACAGAGGCTTCGTCCGCTAGCGGCGTTACCTGAAGAGTGAAGAACACGATAAGACCAAGAGGACACAAGGACACCGACTATGATGCCAGTTGTCTTGACCGCTTTGAGCCTGCGCTCCAGCGCTTCCGGTGCGACGTGGTTATTTTGACCGTTGCTTGTTTGAATCGCTATGGCTCTTGCCTGCTTGACAGCGATATGCATTATGTGGAGGTTAGAGACAACTATCAACAACAGTGTAAGGACCAAAAATGAATCGATGGCCAAGCAGAAGGTTACGAACCCGAAGCTATAGCGCGGTTCTCCTCTACCGCGATTGGCATTTGGAGTTTAGGTTAGGTCAATGTAACCGCGTAATACGAGAAAGATCAGACTTGAGGTCCAAATGGACGCTATCGCGTAACCAACGCGTTTCGGAGTAACCAATGCGTTTCGGAGTAACCAATGTGGGATATTCAAGCGGTTTTGTTACCGCGACGTACCGGTCTACGGTCAGGACAACAATGTGGAGCAGTGTAGCCGAACACAAAGTGAAAAGTGGTAACGTTAGCAAGTCCGCCATGATGGGGTCCACTTCTTTTGCGAGAATGCTGCTGGGTAGGAGTTAAGAGCAAGAGCCAAACTTGTAGCCATATCATTCACTGCAAGACTTCTGAGGATATAGTTCGTCGGCGTTCGCAGATTGTAGTTTTTGTAAACGGCCAAGAGGACGAACAAATTCCCAATACTATTGTGGTATACAATAATTCCTTCCTGGTATTGCATACCATAAATTTGGTTGTTACTCCTATCATCTACGGCTTCAGAGATCGGGCTTTTCGAAAGGCCTTCCAAAATATCTTGCGTCAATTTTTAATAACGTAGTAATCTTTCGCAGTTCGTCGTAACCCCTCTGACGCCATTTTAGCGTGTGATATATCCATTGTCACATCAAAGTAGCACCTTTTTTTTCTGGAAAAAACTTTACATTTTTTGCAAAACATTACTTTACTTTAGTTTGAGAACCTACAAACCTGACTGATGGCCTGTCAGAAGTAGCCGAATAAGCAGTATCTCTAACTTGGTTCATTGCATATGGTTGCCTTAATAGTTGCGAACGCGTTCATAATTTTAAATATTAAGAGCCTCGCAGCAAGCAATGGAATTGACGATGTTTTAGGGTTTTCTCGTTTGCATGCTTCCTCGTTGGTGTAGCAAAGCTCTTGGTGCGTTGGCTAGATGAAGTAAAAACGACCCGACTTTGATAATAAGATGATAAGTGGAAACGATAAATTTTTAATCTGATTTAAATGAGATTTTATGTCAGTGGCAGTCAGCCTGTTTGATTACTGCAGCAAGGAACAAAGTAATGTGTCAAACGGATATCTAGGCTAAAATGACGTGAAACATAATTATAATCATCCCCCGCAATATGGTGCTTGTTTCTGTAATTATTCATAGGTGATGAGCAAATATTGGACAGTCATAACTCCTCCGGGGGTAGAGGAGCATTATGTACTGTAATTGCACATTCAAAGGTCAATTAAAACCAATTTATTTCGGTTTGGTTGTCTCGTATCCTTAGATTCTGAATAACCTGTTCTGTTGGTCACTTTATGCTTGCACTCTATTATTTTGATGCTTATTGTGCACAAACCTGTTCATTTGCGTTGTATTAAGATAACAAATTCTTGAATTAAGCTGTCATTTTAATCGAATGAAATCTATTCAGGATCATAATCAGGATCCATTCGTGTTTCTTAAGATGTCATGTGTCATTGATTTGTTAAGTGCGTTCGCATATTGAAAGAACGTCAGTAAGCATTGATTATCATTGACACAAATTGCTATTTATTCTTGATGCCATGTCTAGTTAGGTAAACAAACTGGCCTTTGTGGTCTTCTGTGGGTCTTTTCTTTAACTTTGTTCTTTATGTTATTCGTAGAGGGTTTCTTAGATAAAACGAACATATTTATTGCCAGAATGATTGTTGTAATGTATATAAACAATGATGGACCCCTAAACCATAACATGTAAGCACTTTGGGTACACTTTATAAAAACATCAGTCGGTGACATCGTCTAAGTATCAAACTTTACTTAGGAATCCGATTGAAAAACAAAAAACGAGGTGAACACCATTTGCCTGCTGGATTCGTCCATGTGCTTAACAGTATAGTATTATAGGGTTTGTGTGTCCCGCCTTCTCTCATGCCTTTGGAATAGATTAAAAATATTAATCAAATAGGACTACAATCACATGATTATTTGTCCTGTATGATATTATATAACATCAGTCTCAAAATTTTTATGAAATATTGGTTGTAAACGTCTTCAAATTAATTAATCAACTGTCCGGACACAGTGGCCCGAATTCACCCTTTGTGAATTCGGGCCACAACGTCTGGGTATAATTAATGGGGATGAGAATCAGAGTAATGTGAATGAGCCGAACCATATTTCGTGTGTAATGAAGAAGGCCAAATCAAGAGGGAGAGAGAGAGAGAGAGAGAAAAAGATAAAGTGGAGTTTGTGCGCGCGGGTGTGTGTGTGCGCGTGTGAGATATATATATACATATATATCAATATAGATTACTTTGTAATTAGTGAGTCTTCGTCAATTTTTTTTGTCGAACGAATATGTTCTCTTGACAACGTCAGTGCTGTCGTGAGTTTTTCCAAACATGCTGAAGATTGTATACAAATAATACATGCTTGCGAGTGCATTAGTGAGTATGCATTGCAACGAGTTTAAATCATATTAGGATACTGAACGAGCTAAAAACATTAATTATTTGTTTATTAGATGGGTCTACAATATGAGTATTAAGTCGGGAAATTGACGGTTGTTATCACCAAAATGCACTCCTCGAGTCTATCCTAAACATCAATGCACACACACGTGATCCATTTCGACGCATCTCATTGGCTACATTCTTGGACCCATTTTATATTTCTTCATAAAAAGGCATGACGGTACTTCAACGAAGACCAGGAACACCATTAACAACCGAGTAAGAGAAAGTGCCTTTAAGTCCTCTCCGGGTGACTTAGTAATGAGGAATAGTGCCTTACCAAAGGACACTATATAGCCCATCAATTATAACTTAGGCTCGAACCCGGGAATCCTCGATTACGAGACCACCGCCCTTTACCACTGAGCCATCGCGCTTCTTTAATAACTTTTGGCATTGCTCGTTCCAGTTTCATTACCAGTTTTTGTTGACTGGATTTCTATGTATGAACATGCTGAGAGCAAGTTCGTGAGTTATGAACAGCGTAGGTTTTTGTTCATACGACGTACATCATTTTATTCCATTTTAATTTAGGGAACAGCTCAATGTTGGATAGCCAGGCAGAGATTATATCTGACAACCTAACACGAGTTAATAACCGTGATGCCTCTTAATTGAACACTTTGTCAATATACAGTCACTCACATTACACGGTGTATGCCAGGAAGTGCATGATACGCTGTCGGAAGATGTTCCATTTTGGGAGTGCCATCGGCTCGATCATCGGACTAACCAGAAAACAAACAACCTTGCACTTAAATTCAGTTCTTTAAAATGCCATTAACAGATTTTAATCTTGTTAATGTGCAGATATTACCCAGTGAATACTTTTGTCTTAACTAGCTTGGCACTATTTTGTGAGACAATCAGATAAATCGCAGTCCATGAATCTGGATCTTCACTAGCCTATTTCATTACAATTAAAAGAGTATTATCGTAATGAATGAAAGTACGGAATCAGCTCTTTTTGCACATCATCAATTTGCTGGCAAAATAGTTTTCATGGTATGTATTATTCCTTTCCTACCTTGCATCATCGTCAGCAATGCCCTGTTAGTGCTAGCAGTTTACAGACATTACAGCCTCCGAACACCAACAAATGCCATTATTGTGAGCCTTGCTATCTCTGATCTCCTCGACGCCCTTGTTGGGATTCCACTGAGGGTGTATGCAACCGTCTTTAAATTCGATGCATCGTACTTCGCCGAAGAAAATACTCCTTACTATGCTCTACCCTTGAATGCACTATCTGGTGTTTCGTTTTGTCACATTGTGGCGTTGACTGCAGATCGATTCATAGCTGTTACGAAGCCGTTACGTTATGCCAGCCTGGTGACGTTTAGACGCATTGCCATTGTCTTGGGATGTCTTTGGCTTCTTAGTATTTTGCCTAACACCGCCCGATCTGTTATCTCAGCGCATGGATCACCAACAAGTCAAGACGAGAAAGAAAGGGACTGTGGGGCACGCTTAACTGGGACATTGAACGTAAACTTTACCTGGTTTTTATTTTGTTTGATCGTGATTTCAATGGTTGCGCTGCTTACCATCAATGCTTTGATTCTTCACATCGCAGTGAAACAAGCGAGAAAGATTGCGAGTCAAAGAGTGATCATTCAGTTCCAACAGCAGCAACGCCCTGTACTAGATGACCGATTGAAAGCATTTAAGACTATCTCCCTTGTCGTGACAGTCTTCATTATCTTCTGGTTTCCGATTCCCCTGTATTTCATATTACGGCTTACAACCTACCTATCGCCTTTTACTATTATGGTATACAACCATTCATTCCTGGTATTGCATACAATAAGTTTGGTTGTTAATCCTATCATCTACGGCTTCAGAGATCGGGCCTTTCGAAAGGCCTTCCAAAATATCATCCGGCAATTTTGAATAAAGTAGTAATCTTTCGATGCTCGTCGTAACCCCTCTGACGCCATTTTAGCGTGTGATCTATTCATTATCACATCAAAGTAGCACCATTTGTCCTGGAAGTAACTTTACATTTATTGCAAAACCTTAATTCATTTTAATGTGAGAATCTACAAACTACAGACCTGACTGAGGGCCTGTCAGAAGTAGCAGTAGCTCTAACATTGTTCATTACATATGGTTGCCTCAATAGCTGCGAACGCGTTCATAATTCTAAATATTAAGAGCCTTAAGTCAGCAAGCAATGGAATTGACGATGTTTTAGGGCTTACTACTTTGCATGCTTCCTCGGTGTTGTAGCAAAGCCCTTGGTGCGTGGGCTAGATTAAGTGAAAACGGCCCGACTTTGGGGTCTGTTTTTGTTTTCGGGGCTCTGGGGGCTAAACACAACGGCTACGGCCAGGCTGACAATCTTTTTTTTTTTATTAATGACTGTATTGGTCTAAGGGGTTAACTGTTATGGGTAGAGTAGGGTGACTATTTCGGGACAGGCTTCTAGACCATTAACTGAAATAAATATGGTCAATATTGAATACCCGTCGTACCCGAGGCATTATTCCGAATGCGTCATTACAGACGCTAATCGGGACTTGTGAGGACAATTTGCACATGCATGCCACCCGCCAGAAAGATCAACGCAATGTTACCACTGTTCAATTTGCATTGATCACCCGATGTCATTCTCAATTTGCGCGACAAAATAAACGGCCTCAAAAAAGCTGCTGCGTTTTTTAATTTTTTTATTAACGTGTGCAACAAAGGATTTACGCGTATTTATTGAGCGCTGTGCTAGAAGATACACATAAATGAGAGGTGTATGGAACTTTATCTCGTCTTTAAAAAAAAACATCCGCGTTTTTGCCGCGTCATAATGATCTGAACGAGCCTTTACTTCTCAATGATGGCGCGAGTGCAACGGGTTTCGAAGCTTGGATTAACGCATAACGTAATTTATATGCATCCTGAGCACCATCAATATATAGGGTATAGGTGTATGGATTTGGAGACCCTTAAGCACATTTGCATAATTTACATAAACAGGAAAAATGTTACACATACAGAAAGTTTTGTATTCTCTTCAGTAACTTTTTCTCTTTATTTGTTAACAAAATTGTGGTCATGATGTAACTGATTAATAAGATAACAATGATTAATGACTTCATCACCAGAGGTCTCTCATTACCTACATGTGAAGGTAATAAAGGACAGTAACAAATCAAGACATTTAAAATACAATTTAAATGAAAATGGGATTGTTATAGTTAGTTCAAACACCTTTTGAAAGAGATATATGCAGCCAATGAACTTACTTTACTTTTGAAACGATTTTATAACAATGTGACCCAAAACATTTCTATACATGGACAATTAACCAACAAGCATCGGGTCATTGACTGTCCTCGGCATACTCGACATTCACAACAAACTACCCCATCTCTCTCTCTCCCTTTTTCTCTCTCTTCAAACTTCTCTACTTCTTTTTTTCTTTTGAACTTCCCTTTTCTCTCTTCTAGCATGTACTTGTATGATGATTATTGTTGTCTCGCCGAAATCTGACTTTCTTAATTTTCATTAATGTATTACATGTAATTAGGAATAATATGTTTATTTAATTATGATCATTCCATTCCCTGCTCTCTCTCTCTCTCTCTCTCTCTCTCTCTTCCTTTCTCTCTGAGCCACCCCTAAATATCTGCATACACCACAACATTCAATGAAAATTGTGTTTTTATATCAGAGCAAAATGTTACGATCTAAATTGGTTACCTTGGTCAATTTTGCCAATTTTCTCGGAGAAAGAGCACATTGTAGTCTTCAAAATGAATTGGATATATGCAGTAGTGTTGTTAAAGGCCACAAATGGCGCTATAGCAATATTGGAACCAATACAGACAGACAGTGATAGGTTCAAGCTTGGTGATTTCCAATTCCCCGCGGTCTCCAATTCCCTACACCTACCCTACACGATTCATCAAGATGATAAGTGGAAACGATACATGAGCAATCTGATCTGAATAAGATTTTATGTCAGTGGCAGTCAGCCTGTTTGATTACTGTAGCAATGAACAAAGTAATGTGTCAAATGGATATCTAGGATAAAATGACATGTAACATAATTATAATCATCCCCCGCAATCCGGTGCTTGTATCTGCGATTTGTCATAGGTAATGAGCAAATATTGGACAGTCATAACTCCTCCGGGGTAAGAAGAGCATTTAAGTACTGTAATTGCACATTTAAAGGTACTATGTCCCTTTTGCAGCCAACCTCAAATTCTGTAGAACTTTGCAGGAATTATGAATATGTCATGTATGTCCTATCTGTGAAATTTAAACGTTAGCAGTGTCCTCATATTCAAATTATGCAAGGAAACCCATTTACTTGCTAGACTTCACTGTCAGACCCTATTGAGTGACTGACTGGCTTTTTTTTCTTCTTTGGTAATAACATACATGGAAAGAGTTGTAAAGGGTACGTGAGCATTTGTCTACATCAATTAACCCACTTCTTGTGATGGCCAAGATTAAACTGATTGAATCTTTGCGCAGCATAAAACGTATGACCATTCGGTACAATTGTCTGAAAATCAAGACTATTACTTTTGGGCTCTATAGCCCTAAAGTCGATTTGACAACTAATAGTCGTTATTTTCCCACTTGAAGACATTTTCAAGCCCCACCTTTTTTAGGGAAGTTTTAGATTAGTATTATCTTTCAAATGCAGTTGGAATTTAACCTTTTCATTTTTGGCCTGCAAATGGGACAAAGTGCCTTTAAAGGTCAATTAAAGCTATTTTATTTAGAATTTTTGGTTTTCTGTAGCCTTTGATTCTGTAAAACATTTTGTGGTCACTTTATGCTTGGACTATATAATTTCAATGATTACTGTACACAAACACGTTCATTTGCGCTGGATTAAGATAATGAATTAAGCTGTCATTTTAATCTGACAAAATAATAATAATAATAGTTCGTCCTTATATAGCGCAGATATATATCATCGGATTCATGATTATCCGCACACAATGTATGCACATTCTCCACTCCCTGGGGAGCCACTTGCTAATCAAACAACATTAGCTTTCGTATCCTACCGGGTACCCATTTAACACCTGGGTGGAAATTGGCAAATGTAGAAGGTAAAAGGACATTAGTGCCGCGGCGGGACTTGAACCGCGGACCTTGTAATCCACAGACCGGTGACATATCCACTCGACCACGATGACACCTCTGCATAATGTACCCCAGTCACACCGCCACTCCGACCCCAAACTGATTGCTTCCTTGCCATTGTGGTAATGTAATTCAATGTACCGTCAAACCTGTCTATAGCGACCACCCAAAGGAAACATAACAAGTAGCCTTTGTAGACAGGTGGTCTTTGTAGAGAGGTTCCTTCAGTACATGCTTCAATGAGAAACCATTTTCAAGGGAAACAACAAATATGGCCTTTGTAGACAGGTGGTCTTTGTAGACAGGTGGTCAATAAAGCAGGTTTGACGGTATATTAATCAGTCTCTTGTTGGTCACGTCATTGTGACTGAAGCTCGAATTTTTATATTAACTGTTGACACTTGACCCATAATCATCATTGTGAAATGCCAAATGAACTATGAATCTTAATATGAATGTCAAAGAACCCATTCTTTACTGCATGTACCTACAGAAAAATAATAAAACCTCGTGACCTACTAAAGGTATTTTTTTTCAGTGTTTTATGTTTCATTACAAAAAATCTCTATCATGGTAATTATGACATTCCGATTTTATTTGTAGTATGCACAGCACATTGTTGCTTTACATTATGACCTAACGTTTTTGCTGCGCCTTTCAAAGCAATTTCGAAATAATTAGCCTTTATACACATGTAGCTCCCAGTGTCGTATCATTTGAAAATATCAAAGTTTTATTGGTTTAAATTTCTGGCTTTTGTAAAATTGTAAATGCAATAACGAACATGATCTCAGAGGCATTTTAAGCGCGGCTCACACTCCATGAGCTGACTACGAACCGACTTTGAAAGAAATGATATAAGCATTCAAACATTTGGAATCTTAAAGGGACTTGCTAACATTGTTCAGATGAGAGATAGTGGTGCTAAGGTAGTGACTTCAATGCTGAATATACAATTATCTGAAAATTTGAGTGAAAACGGAGCATTTTTAATGATGAAAATTGGGAAAACTGATCCTATCGATTCCTGAATTATCCCAACTATATTATTAAAATTTAATTACATTTGACTAAAATTTAATAGATGAATGTAAATAGTCACAAAGCAATAAATTGGCTCTATATACCATTCCAGACATTTTTTAAAAAGCCTGTTTCATGTCCTTTTTTCATGGAAAAACGGTTGGGAAACTCAAAAATGGTTTGGAGAATTTACTTTTAATCACTGTTAGAGGGTGTTGCACCGTGACGCCTTCAAAGAAAATCATAGATATCTTCGTGGTTTGAGAATTTGTTCAGGATTTGTTTGCATGTCAGAGGGCTAGTACAGTAGAAGGAATATACAAAATAAAATTTTATACACAAATTAAGCAATTTTTTCATCAACCTTCAACAATGTCACCCAGTCACTTTAATAACCGAGGATCTGGAAAGTCATATAATTAACAAAATCTCAATTTCAAGAGATTTTATGCTTCTTTGGAGGGGGAAAAGCTAAATCGCCTCATAATCGTAATGACGTCAGACCAAAACTGCGATTGTCTACGATTTGAAGCCGATTCTGCTTTTATTCCAACAAGAGTTAAATGCACTAAACTTCCGGTTGTTAATATACTTATTATTGTTTAGAACCTAAATCAGGAGGACAGTAGTTGTTTAGATCGCCACATCTAATGTAACCACCCTTTCTACGAAATCAGGATAGCAGGAGGAACATGTAGTGTGCACCGCTTTAACAGTCAATTAAGGACAATAATATTTCAAATTGCATAAGGAATAGAAATCATATTCGAGTATATCAATAGGTGACGCATAAGCTATCGAATCTTTGCAATGGTACTAATTATTACTTTATTATTATTTATATTGTATTAATACACTGGGAGTATCGCTGTATAAG